ACCGAGATCGAAATCTAGTGAAGCCAGGATTCCCGTCGGTTTTGAGCTAGAGTTTTTCGTGCATGTCGTTCCGCTTGGATGTATCGTCTGAGTAGTTGTTTACGAGCAAAGCGAGGCATAGGTGGAGGTGATGTGAACTAGGGAGTGAAGTACTGGAACTGGATGTGAATTAGGAGATGAGTTGGGTAGATGAGCTTGTGCGGTGAGAGGACCGGTCGGGACCAAAAGAAAATGAAATCGAAGTTGAGGTGAGGTAGGGTGAGGTGAAGAATTGGGTAATCGGGGATTCAAAGTAGAGAAAAACTGAGAACGTTCTCCCAGTTTCCCAGTTTCACAATTACAGCCAAAATCGAAAACTGGGAAACTGGGAAAAAACGGGAAAAAACTCCCAGTTTCTACTTTGTATCCCCTAATTGATCTCAAGCTCGGAATCTTCTGGATTGCTCGCTTGTTCTTTCTCCGCACCCAGAAATTCAATGGCTCGCACAATTGACAGGGGAGAGGGGGGTCGTTCGGGGGTATCTGAGCGAGGGGCTGGATCTTCCGTGTCCATGAAGGCGTCTGCAAGTGGAGGTGGGTCATTGTTTGGGAGCGGGTTTTGATTCGCTAGACCAGGGAGTATTTCGTTTTGATTGGCGTTGAGAGCGTCAAAACAGGCAGCTTTGTTGAGATGGCTCTTGGTCAACATATGAGCGGCGTACGACTTCATGGGACGCTTCCCACAAACTAAACACAGAAAAAGTGGCGCAGAGGTGTCCGAGGACAGAGATTTAAAATCTAAAAAGATGGAAATGTCAGAGTTGCGATCGGTGAAGACGACGAAGGAGAGGACTGGGAGAGGAGACAAACAGCGATCGTGTATGATTCCAGCCATTTGCAAATTGATGTGGTGGGTTTTGTGTGAGTGGTCTGATCGGGGATTGGTGGACTTTTTATGTGGACTGTGGTCTGAAAGGAGATCGGAGATCAGAGACTTTTGTGCTTTTGTGCGAGGTGAGTGACTTTTGCAATGTTCTGAATTCGAAAATACGGCCGAGGGGCCTTGAAGCGGCAACCGGCAGGCCAACCGGAGACGGAAGTGGGGCGACAGATGCCTGCAGCCTGCAGGCAGACCGGAAGCGGTCTCCAGATTGTTGATAGATCGCCTGCCGGTCGATCTATCATTGCGGCTCGGACTCCCACCAAGACTGGCCTGGGGCCATCCGGGATCGACCCGCTGGCTGACGTGAGGCCAGGTTCAGACCCGACCTTTCACAGATCACTTTTCGGCCCAGGATCCCCCCGTGGTGTACGTTTGATTATAGGGAGAGCATCAGATTCTGAACGTCTCAGTGAAATTTACGCATATACTTATTGTCGCTCTTTTTGATCAACTTGATCGTTAGTCTTGATGATCAGTGAGATGGTCTAGTTTTGATCTGTTTTGATTCATACAACTCTCAAACACGCTTTCAAGGGGATGGTCCGAGCCAGGGCCTGCCCGGTGCTGCCCGGCAGCATGAACACTACTTCATTGTGAATGTCGGGCCTGAATCGGCCCCGGGGCCGGCCCTGACACTTCAGGGCCGGGTCATACCCCTACGTGAGGCCAGGTTCAGACCCGACCTTTCACAGATCACTTTTCGGCCCAGGATCCCCCCGTGGTGTACGTTTGATTATAGGGAGAGCATCAGATTCTGAACGTCTCAGTGAAATTTACGCATATACTTATTGTCGCTCTTTTTGATCAACTTGATCGTTAGTCTTGATGATCAGTGAGATGGTCTAGTTTTGATCTGTTTTGATTCATACAACTCAACAATCGAGGCTCTAATCAGAATGTTGGATGAAGTGGCTCGACCATCATTCCCTTCTATTTGAACACTACTTCATTGTGAATGTTTACTGCGATACGCACCAAGTAAGAGATGTATAAAGACGGAGCTCGTCCTATCATTGGAAGTGTCTCCTTAGCCTTATCTGAAATTTTGTACGTTTACAAGCTTGGCTGGCCAAGTCGTCAGTTTCTCTTGATACAATTTCGAACCTATCATCTATTCGAACCGGGAACCGTTGAGACTCACGGAAGACATTCAAGTTGGTAACTGTGTATACTTTCCAAAGGCAAAACAGTCTCTCTTTCATAGTCAATCTTCAGCTCACGCCCAAATGTCATCTCGAATGAGTCAAAAGCTTGGAGATCATGCCCTCGGGGCCTTGGATGATGAACGCATTTGCGACGCTTTATCTGCGAAGTCGACTCCGAAATCACACGATCAATTGGCGTCCAAACCAGCCGATGACCTTTCTCATCTGGACAGTAAGGTGAAAGAAGATTACTCAGATCCATTCGACGAATGCGCGGTGCTTCCAGATGCAGACCAAGAAGAGGACCCCAATGAGCGGGTGATTACCTTCAGATCTGCGTTGGTAGGAGCTATTATGGTCGCCGTGGGTGCATCTATATCACAAGTAAGTCACTATCTTTATCTACTTCACTGAGAGGGCAGGTTTGATGAGGATCATTTTGAACATGTAATCATTTCTCAAGTCTAACACCGCTATTATTCATCTCAACTCTTGCAGGTTTTTATGTACAAGCCGGTGCGTATCTTGAATTGTGCTTCCTTCTGTGTACTAGTCTCCTGGAGATAAAGGGAGGCAGGCCATCCTTACCGATCATCTTCACGCCTGACATGTATATCCGCCTCACTGTTCTTCGAAATAGGTGCACCTACATCTAAACCCCGTGTTTCTCCAGGTAAGGGATTACATGATTGTGGTTTCATCATTCTCCAGCTTCACTTTGTGGTTCACAGCGCTAACAGCGCCTCGCCGTAATTCTAGCTAGCATGCCTTGTCCTGGGAAAGTTCTTCGCTGCGATACCAGGGCCCAAATGGTGGAACCCTTGCAGTTTGACTGTCAAGGAATCTGTCTTCAGTGCGATTATGGCTACTGCTGGAGCGGGCGGTGCACACAGTGTTGAGGTCAGTTTCTCAATCAGATGAAGCATCAGGCGGCCTTTTAAGATCTTGGGATTCTTGCAGATAATCGCCTCGCTGGACGTCTTTTTCGATCGACCGATGCCTGCTTACCTTTGTGTCTTGACCATAATGAGTAGCCAATTCTTGGGGCTAGCCTGGGCTGGGTGAGTGCTTCTTTTAAAACTTGAATACGTTTCCTTTCAACTCATATGCATACGTCGATACAGGGTGTATAGTTCATTTTTCATCTATCCGAAAAGCGTCGTCTTCCCGCGAGTCAATGTTTCTTCTATGACAGGTTGGAAGTAAACTCATCGGTCTTGTGTTTAGGAGTGTGCTACCATGCGTAGTGCTGTTTCGTTCGCTGGTCAAACCCTCTCCAGACAATCAGGGTCAATTATCTCTCTTCCAGAAGGTATTTGGTGTCATGACTATATGTAAGTGGAAGCAGCGATTGATGTCAATGTCCTTAGGACGTTCATTGTTGCTGATCTTTTTCTCCTGGGTGCAGATGAAGCCATTCCCGAATGGCTCGCCCCGGCTCTCCAGGCAATAAGTCCTTGGTGCTTGACTCTACCTCAGCTACCAGTCGTCACGCAGGTGTGTACTTTCTTTCCTCAAAGGAGTAATATAACAGCTGAAGTTTGGCCAATCCCTCCCTTAACACCGTTCTCAGATCTTCGGTGGATCTATCGCTGCAGAAGGTCTTGGTTTGTTTGCTGCCAGTTTTGATTGGGTTCTCGTAGGTAAGTTATATGAGCTTGACTTTGAAAAGAGCCTAGATGTGGGCCCGCTGACCGCACCGAAATGACTTACCCAGGAAGATACAATCCGCTATACATCCCGCTCTTGGCTCAAGTACGTTGTAAGAATAACATGCACTTGACTTCAAACTGACGTGCCTTGCACAGATCACGGATTGGACAGCTGTAGCCACAGGGGTCTTTCTTTTCAGTGCAGCCTATCGATATGACTGGTTCGGTAAGCTTCAATCTCAAACTCTCATTGAGCTGATACTGATGGATTTCTTGTCATAACACAGGCGGAGCGCACTTGCCATTTATCTCTTACGACATTCTCAATAACGAAGGAGTACGCTACAATCTAAGTAGAGCCCTTTTTGATAATGGAACCGAAAATACGATCGAGGTAGAAAAAATGGGGTTGCCATCATATGCAACCGCTTTTGTTATCGGAAAAGCTGGTACAGCATTTTCCGTGTCATCGGCAATTGTTGCAGCCCTTTTATTCAATTGGGACAGGATGGCGGCTACTTTTAGCTCTTCCAATCCGGAAATGTCAAGAGAAGATCCTCATAGAACAATCACGAAGCATTATGCAGGCTTTCCAATGTAGTCAGTATAGCTTGCTTGGAAATGATAATCCTGTCCAGATTGACTTGGAGCTTGACTGATTATGGTTTCTCACAGTGGTTTTGTGGCGTTGGGAGCTTCATCGATTGGTCTCGCATTTTTTTGTGCCGCGCAAGCTGGCTCTGGCCTTCCGCCTTACGCACTTGCAACTGCTTTTGTGCTCTCCGCGGTTTTAAGGTACGTATTTCACTGTCTCGAAGCTCTTATTCTATTCTGATCGACAAGGCGTGCGTGGTAGCTTCGCAGCAGTATTTTTTTACGGGACTGTAGGGATTCCCCTACATTGCCAGCGTGAGTTTTCTTAGCAGAGCTGACAAGCTGAGCTTCCTTGATATACATATTCTGACTCGTTTCATATGCCCAAAATGTCAGATGTCACCCAAATGCTGGGGTAAGCAAATGAAACATGTGTCGGCTCTTAAACGATGTGCTGAACCACTCCCCTTGAACAGCGGTATACTTTTTCCAGGAAATGCTATCAGTAATCTATGGTTCACACTGTAAGTCACGCCTCCTTCTTAGATCACAATACCATTATTGCTAAACCTTTATGGATTTTCCATGACAGGTATGGATGGACTAGCGTCAGTCAATGTGTTCGTCAGGCCACAGATTTGAAAATGGGCCAATACATGAATCTATCCACTGTTGGTTACCTATCTCTTATCATGTTGCTTGATCACATTCCTGACTTACTTCCAATAGCTCTCCGTCGTCATTGGTCAAATTTCTGGAATGTGAGATTTCTATTCCCTCTCTTCTCCAAGAGGAATTTGAAAAGACTCATGGTTTTACTTTTTACTCTGCGGTATTTAGAATCCTAGGAGGGTTCGTTCATTATGGCGTAATGAGCACTATCGTCAACACTCAAAGAGATGTACTTTTGCTTCCTCACGGAGACGGAATATATACGGTATCTATCATCACCTTTCTCCTATGCCTCAGAACATATGTGGGCGCCATCAAACGTACCTGATCATCTCATACGATACAGGGAATGGCCTTGAGTAGTATGTCTGCTCAAGCGACCAGGTATGTTGAAGAATTCTACTTCACTCGAATACTTCCTCTGCCTCGACGCCTTCTATTGAAAGATTTCTAACACAGATGTCTATCTTGATCACCAGCTGGGGAATATTTAGTAAAAGACTTTACTTCTTTGGGTCAAAATATGTCTGTCAAAACTTGACTCCGTCTCTTTGTTGGCATCTTATTTACTTACATCATTTTTGAAATACAAGGCAATAATCCCCTACGCTTTGATTTTGGGATTTGTGGCTCCAGTTCCGTTCTATCTTCTTCATAGATGGAAACCCACGGCTGGATTTCAACGTATCAACACTTCTTTATTTGCAGCATGTCTTTATCATGCAGTTTGGGGTAAGTCTTAATTACTTTTGCAAACTAGTCGGCCAAACCTGAACTATGTACCTTTCCAAACTGTAGGAGCTACCTCGGGTCGTATGACATCTATCGTGTTGGCCATAGCTACCCAGTACTATGTTAGGAAATATCATTTTAGATGGTTCGTATTCAATATTTTACTTTCGTATGTCTTTTGTCTAAATCATTCTTTTCTTTTGCATACAGGTACCAACAATACAAGTGAGGATTTCTTTGCTTCCATTACATTGAAAACCGAATGCTGATTGATTGTGCCTACCTTCAGTTATATCTTGAATGCGGCCGTAAGTTCTCAATCATGCTAGTACTATGTAATGCATCAACATCATGACTTACTGATTTTGACCCTTCAATCCCTTTTCACCACACATGATATTGATAGTTGGAAGGCGGTACTCAATTTGCAGTCCTACTGCTCACATTTCTTGTACAGGGAGGGGCTGGTGTCAAATTAAATATTCCACAGTAAGCCGCGGCCTTTATGCGCACTACTCATCTGGATAGCATAGCAAAGTCAAACGCTAACTGATGTTCCACATTCCGCCAGTTATTTTTTAAACCCGAAAGGAACCCGAGATTACTGTTATCTCGCGGACGCATCCCATTAGTTTTCCTTCCTACAAATCCTGGTGCTACCAGCTTCTTGTCTCATCGCGGGCCCAGCTAGGATATAGAGTTGAATTTTTATTGGCATACCTCTGCATGATAACTGCACAACCAAATAATCTCATTTTCCGAAATGTATAAAATGGGGAGGGGGAATTTTACACTTTACACCGACTTTATCTGTGTAAACTTGACCCGGCGTGAGATTCGAAAAAAGGGCTCAAATTTATATTTTCATATATGTACATACTTGTTTCGATTTTTTTTTCTGTGTAACGTGATCCTGTGCAAAAAAAGTTGTGTAAAAGTGTAGCACAACAGTTAAACTTATCAGAGTCTCACGCTCGACCCTTGCGAGTAGTCGAGCGAGGGACTTAGGACAACCTCGCACAAAATTCTTACTCAGTGGGATGTTTTTTGCAGGAGTTGCCTTAAGATCCATCTACAGAGCCCCCTGCCGAAGATCATGATATGGTCCAAAGACAAAATATGTGTGCATTCCTCTTGTGCACATAGTCCATTCTCTCAAGCTCTTTTAAAGTGAGCTGTGATGTTTTTTATACCTTACCAGATTACTCCTACCTTGGCCTTTGTCACAGGCTGAGATAGGAGCGTGTCGGGGGAGCCCGGTCCCGGGTCTGCTCCGAGCCTGGGTGGGTGGGTTGGTATAAAAAATTCTTTGATGGTATTAAAAACTTCTTGAGAATTGAATGGGAATTGATAAAGTTCTGAGTCTAGGAAAAAGGTTCGGTGTGGTGTGCGAGAATTTTCAACCTAGAAAATTGCCTTGAACTACCAGACCTTGTACAGCTGTACAGTTACCTCACCCTTAGAACTTTTTGTCATGGACATAAGCCTTAAGTCGTGCCTTGGTTAAGACCACCCATACATCAATTTTTTCCCAAGGAAAGTACTCCCCTCCGAGTTCAATTTCACTCCAAAATTTTTGTCTTGTAATGTATATGTAGGTTGACTGTGGAGCTAAAACTTTGTCCCAAACCAGCCTGGTGCAAAACTGGTTTTGCCCTACAGATGGCCCCAGGCCCACAGACGGATCTGTGTGAAGTTTGTGATTCCATATGTTGCCATTCCACCACTCAATCCATGGAATCTATTCACTTTTTGTTAGGTTTAGGATTTTCTTTTCTTTTTATTTCTTGTCGTGTAGCATTTTAAAACTATCATCTTATCTAATATTATTTCAAAGTGTTCATTATCTACTACATCAGAGTTCTACCAGTCATAAGACCATGCGCTATGTAACTTAATTGTTAGTCCAAGCAAGCTACAGTGCGGGTGTGGGGGGGCCGGTAGGCCGCGGGTCCTCTGACCGGGTAGGCTCTCTGTGTGGTAGGGAGCAGGGGTGGGTGGGAGGTCAAAGAAAATTCTTGACAAAAAGTGAGAGTTTTCTTGATTACCTTCAGGTGGTTTGTTAGTGCTATGTTGATGTGTTGAGGTTTTTCTGACTTCAAGGGAGACTTCAAATTCGTAATCCCTCAAAGTCATGGTGGGAACTTTCTCTTAGGCCCAGTACCGATTTGTACCGGGCATCCTACCATTCCGCTCATCTTATATTTCCATGGAATTCTACAGGTGCCGTCGTTCCTTTGGGCACCTGTAACATGGTTGCCTTACACCAAAGGCACGACGTGTAAGGCGGTTTCCATCAAAAGAGGAGCGGAGATACAGTGGCCTAAGACCTAAGACATAAGACTTAGGCAAAGCTGGTACCAAGAAATACAGGAGGATGAAAATTATCTCCTCCTGTATCTTACCAGCTTCTTAGGCCACTGGACATCTCATCGCTCAGCTCTTCGCTCTCTTACTCAGGAAAATTTTGAAAGACTATCTTGGAAAAGCAGTCAATATTGAATCAGCATAAGAATTGAAATTTAGACCAAGCAGAATCTACAAACAAAAATTCAAACTTTACAAAAATGAATCACGAGGAATTTCACCAGCAAATAGAAGGTAAATTAAGAGATCAAATCGAAGAAGAAGAGGAAGGTGGATTAGACAAGGTGGGAGGAGAAGACACAAGAAAACAAGATGACATGACGAGACCGATAGGTAACTCAAAAGAACAGCAGACAACAGACAGCCAACCAACAACCGTAAACACACAAGCTTCGAGTAATCAAGAGGAACCAACGAGCCAAGTAATGACAAGGCAAGGTAAGAAGAGGATCGAAAAAGGGGAAGAAGCAATAGGAGTGATAAAGATCAAGAGAGGGGGTAAGAAAGGTGGTGGTACAGGAAGCGGTAGTAAAGAAGCAGAAGCAGAGTTGAAGAGGAGAGAAGAGGAAGAGAAGCTAGAGAGAGAGAGAGTAGAAGAGGAGCAAGAACAAGAAAGGAAGAGAAGGGAAGAGGAGAGGGTACAGGAGTTAGTGCGGCAAGAGTTAGGAAGAAGAGATAGAGAAAAGAAACAAGAAGAGGAACGGAGATTCAGAGAAAAAGACAGGCGGAGAGAAGAGAGAAGGTTGGAAGAGGAAGACCGGAGAGAGGAGCGTGAAGAAAGAGAGCGGCAGTTAGCAGAAGCGAGAGCAGGAAAGAAGAGAGTGGCTGGTATAATACTCAGTGATACTGACGAAGGTAAGCGAAAAATTCCGACTTCAGAAAGACCTTCTTCCAGATATGGAAATGCTCCTGTAAAGGAAGGAAGGAATGAGCACACACATCGATAAGAAAAATACTCCGCGAAAGGAATGCCCCAGATTGGGAAGGAAAGAGAAGAGATGACTGACAAGACCTTGTATTGTAAACGCCCGTAGAAGGAGATAGACAGCGCAAGGCGCACGTACACGACGCGAAGTCACAAGCTGTGGAGAGGATGAGGAAACGGCTAGAAGAAGAGCTGGACGCAGCTTATGAAGCGAGGAACCGTGAATTATATGACGAGTTGGTAGAAGAGAAGAGGAAGTGGGAACTGTTCCAAGCAGGAGAAAGAGGAGAGAAGGAGTCGACTAAGTCAGGCCTGAAAGAAGTGGGAGAGGAGAAGAAAGAAAAGAAGTCGGTGAAGGTGAAAAGGGGAGTAGGAGTAGATTACCATCTGGTAGGCCTGTCAAAGTATTGGGACGGCATCATGCAGGATTTAAGTCGTTATGTCCCGTTGTCAATCTTCAATGTGGTTTGGTTGAGGCAAGACCTGAGTATGACATCGACAAAAACTTCAAGAGCAAAGACGAAAGATGCAGATGCGGTGACCTACAACTACAATCCGGTACCAAGTGAATGGAGGACAAAGGTGGCAGAGTGGCATAGGCAGAAGGATTTATTCTTGGAGTACTTGGCGTATTATGAACATCATGACGTAATTGAATCAATGAAGGAACATTTCAAAAATGTGTTAGATATCCAGAAAGAAAACAATGGATGTTGGATGGTGGCGTTCAGGTATGACATGGAGATGAGACAGACCTATATAAGTTTCAAGAAAGACGGGGAGATGGCGGATATAGGGTTGAGAGACGAGAAGGTAGAGAAGAGAGCGATAAGAGAAACAGCCAAGAAGGGAGAAGAGATGATGTTGGATAACCCGTATGCCAGAGATGGAACGAAGAGATTCATAGATCCATTTGATGGGAGCAACTGGGCGGGACGTCAAGGAGCGTGGGATGACCCCAGAGCGACCGACAACAAAACCGATTTCTACAAATCAAGTCAGTCAGTAAGGTCAACTACCTGGGCGCAATCGAGGTACAAACCTCACCAAGCACCGACCCAAGGACCGTCTTCAGGACCATCGGTAGGTTTCAGGGGAAGAAGTTTCGGAGGTTTCGGGAACCAAGGAGGAGGACGAGGTTTTGGTGGAAGAGGAAATTTTGGATTCTATGGAGGAGGTTTCAATGGCCTAGTAGGAGGAGGATATGGGAATGGCTTCGGAGGAGAAGGGGGAAATGGGGGAAGTTTAGCGACGGGCCCTAGAGCGAATACCCCAGGGGTTAGTAGAGGAGTCTGGGGAGGAAGCTCGAGAGGAGGAGCAGTGGGGAGAGGCGGTTTTGTCAGAGGACAATCAGGAGCAGGGAGAGGTGATCAACCAAAGTGAGTTGAAGGAATGTCGGGAGATTCTAGAGGAGATGAAGAGTTGGTGAAATAGAGATGAAATGAAAAATTGTGTTGCCCGGAGAATTGAAAAACCAGAGAGAGAATCGTGAGCTGAACTGACTTAGTGATTTGATGACAGACAACAGGTGAGAAACGAGAGGAGTCGATGGCCGTTTGAGTCGAGATGTGAGCTGAATATCCCAGAATGGGAGGAGCTCATGAGAGAGTTCGAGTTGACAGAAGAGTGGGGAGATGTGCTTACCAGTCTCAAGGAGGGATTCCATCAAGGAATACCAGACCATTCCATACCAGGAATGAGGTGGTATACACCTCCGAACCAAGAGTCCGCGCTGAAAGTGAGGGGTAAGATTGAAGATACAATCAAGAGAGAGAAGCTGGAAGGGAAGATATTCGGCCCGTTTACGCATGAAGAGATATACCAGAAAGTTGGCTTCTTTAGGTCAAACCCAATGGGCAGCATGGTGAATAATGACGGTTCGCACCAGATGATAAACAATTTGTCTTATCCCAAGAACGAGAAAGACGTCCCTTCGGTGAATTTGCTGGTAGAGAAAGATGATTTTAAAACTTCCTGGGATGACTTCTATGCAGTGGCGACGTTCTTTAGGTGCTCGGAGAAGAGGTGGCTGTTGGCGATCTTCGATTGGGAGAAGGCGTATCGGCAAATACCGACACACCCGTCACAATGGCGTTTCCTGATAATAATGGACTTCGAAGGGAAGCTCTGGGTAGACACTAGAGTAGGATTCGGGGGTGTGGCAGGATGCGGAACGTTTGGGAGGGCGGCAGATGTTTGGAGAGAGATAATGGTGAAGGCGATCGGAATCCCGAGGATATTTAGGTGGGTAGACAACAACATGATCCTAAAGGAAGAAAACTCGGAAATCAGCATGAAAACGATATTAGAATTGAGCTCTTATATGGGGGTAAAGACGAACCTATCGAAGTATTCAGACTTTGCGGAAGAGCAAAAGTATCTTGGTTTTATCTGGAATGGAGTCAAGAAGACGGTGAGGATGCCACAAGAGAAGATTGAGCAGAGGTTAGTTCATATTAAGGAACTGTTGAGGGGAGATAAGTGGGACAAAGAACAAGTCGATAAGCTGGTGGGACAACTAGGTCATCTAACCTACATATTGCCGAGCATGAAATGTTACATGAGGGAGTTTTATGCCTGGAAAGAGCCGTGGGCAAACCCGAAGGCAAGGAGGTCGATATCACAAGGGGTAAGACGCGACCTCGAAGAGTGGGAGAACGTCCTAACAACATTCGAAAACATGGTAATAATCCCGGATCCAGAACCGATAGACGTAGAGTGGTCGGGGGATGCGGCGACTTCGTGGGGAGTAGGGGTGAGAATAGGTGATTGATGGGCGAAGTTTAGGTTGTTGGAAGGTTGGAGAGAGGAGTCTTTGAGAAATCCAAAGAGGGGAATAGCTTGGGCGGAAACGATAGCAGTCCGAGTAGGGTTGCTGATGCTAGTGAAACTCCGCGAGGTAAAAGGGAAGTGTTTCGTGGTATGGACTGACAATACTACGACCAAAGGAGCGATACGGAACAATAGATCAAGGGATAAAACAGTCAACAATGAGTGGAAACAGATCCAAAAATTGCTACTGACTTACAAGTGTTCGATAAAGCAAAGGCAAGTGGAGACAGGAGACAACGTCGCAGATCAACTTTCAAGAGGCGATTCATCCGGTTTATCACCAGAGAACGAAGTCCAGATCGAAATTCCCATAGACCTTGGTAATATCCTAAGACAAGAATGAAGAAGAGTCTAGAAGAGAGAGTATTGCAATTTCTGATGAACGGAAGAGGAGAGGTGAACATTGGGAAAGATCGGGTACAGAGGCTGATGCTCTACGGGCGAAGTTGGTCTGAAGATACGTTGGTGCAGTATAATTCGGCGGTAGTGAAGTTGGTGAAATTCGCGGAGTCGGGGAAGATCGATAGGAAGTGGTTGTTGCCGATAAGTGCAAAACTGGTGGAAGAATTTATAGCCTGGGCGAGCCCGAAACCTGACGGAGATCTAGAGAATAAACATGAGATAAAAGGAACGACGATAGAGTCGTATATCACAGGGATTCGAGCCTGGCATTTATTCCACCACGAGAAGTTTCCGGAGATAGAACAAAGGAAGATCAACGTGCTAGTGAAAGCAGCGAAAAGGTTAGGAATGGAGGAGGCGACAAGACCACTGAAGAAACCGGTCCAAATCTCACACTTAGCAGTGTTATTGAGGCAAACGGAAAAAGGAGACAAGAAAGGAAATCTGGTGGTGGTGATAGCACTCGTGGCGTTTTGGGGGATGGCAAGGTTAGGGGAAGTAGTCCCATTGAAGAACTCAAGAATGGTAAGGATAAATGACCTGAAGATGTCGGACGATGCGTCTAAGATGTGGATAACATTGAGGGAGGCGAAAACGGCGAAACCGGGGGAGTTACAATTCTTACAACTGAGGAGACACGACTCGTTATTGGACCCAGTAGCGGCGCTCTTGAGATTAGTAGTACAGCATGCAGAAGAGAAATTGAGCCCAGATGAACCACTATTCAGTTATTTAGACGAAAAAGGGAATAGAAACGTCCTAGAGAAGAAAGGGGTGATGGCGATATTGAAGAAAGCTTGGAGTAAGGAAGGGATAACTGGATTGACGGGACACTCATTTAGAGTCGGTGGAGCGTCGTTCCTCTGGAACGAAGGGGTGGATCTGAAGAAAATAATGGAGAAGGGAAGGTGGAAATCAAAGGCATACAAGAGGTACCTGAGGAAATATGACGAAGTAGAAATGAAACTAAATAGAAGGTGGTTGAAAAGAATGGAGGTTACACGAGAAGAGGTCGAAGAGATAGACATGAGACGGTGGGAAGAGATAATGAGGAAGGAGGAGGGAAGTGAGAACGTAGGGTCAGAAGAGGGAAAGAACGGAAGGAGTGAGGAGAAATAAAAGGGTAGAGTTGGAGAGAGATCGGCGGCGAAGTCGGAGAGGGAAACCTTATGTGAAGGCTAGAACCACAGAGAAGGGTGACGTATGTACAAGGCAATAGAGTGGGGCGAACCTTAAATTGAATTGCATAAATAGAGAAACTGAAGCAAGAGTATAATTACAAAAAAAAAAAAAAAAATGTGAGAGGAGAGATCGACAAGCAGAACAGATTTGAGTTCGATAAAGAGCGGAGAGCGGCCAGTGGCACGCGTAAGCGAGACTATATACAAGCGTAGCGGGGGGCATCTCGGAGGTCCCAAAGAGATGGGGACTCAGAGGATCTTTGGTCCCTCCGAGATTGGGAGGGTTTAGACCCCATCTCTCTGGGGACCCCGAGCGTACTCAGGTCCGAGTCCTGCAGACCTGGAAGCCGGGTTTCATAACTCTAGGAGAGAGTTAAGAAGGAAACCCGGCTGGTCCTGCGGTCCGGAGGCCCCCCCCACCCTCTACGGTGCCTATAAGGATAGGGCTGTGGAGTGTACGCAAAGGTCTTAAGAGAGAGGCAAGGTAGAGAACAAACGAAGAGCCATCATCTACTCGACGAATAGAGATGGATTCATCTTCACACAATACTCTGCAAACCTCAACTCAATATTTCACCATGTGAACACCACCACGCACGTACTGACACGTAGTCAATTATCTGGAATTAAAAAAAATAAGGACATCAAATGTCTTATGCCATATACACTCCAAAGAAAGCTCCTCAGCACCTCCATCCAATTGCCAAAACAGATTACGGACATCAGGCAAGCACTCATTGAACATTAGTGAAAGATAATGCCGGAGTCACCCTCATTATGTGCCCACTATCTTTCCATAGGGGTTATGTGCTTTCAAGAACTTAGGACAAAACAATATGACCTTATTGACTTGACTTTGCAGCACTTACACAACCAATTTACATATTACAGCACCGTTTGAGACAAAGTTTTTGGAGTGAAACTGAAGTCTGAGGGGGGTACTTTCCTTGGGAAAAAATTGATGTACTATGTGGGCAAGAGGAATGCACACATATTTTGTCTTTGGACCATATCATGATCTTTGGCAGGGGGCTTTTTAGATGGATTTTGAGGCAACGCCTGCAAAACACATCCCGCTGAGTAAGGAGTTTGTGCGAGGTTGTCCTAAGTCCCTCACCTGAATACTCGCGGGGGTCAAGCGTGGGACTTTGATAAGTTTACACAACAGTGTATTATATGTTTTTACACTGAAGCCTTTACACAAACAGTACACGGTGCAAAATATTACAGTGTAAAAATGTAATTTTGACTCAAGATTGATAATTTTATACGGGGCACAAGATTTTTCCAAACACTCATTTCCAAACATCAATGTTTGAAAAACATGTTGTTTGTAAACTTAACAAAGTCCCAGGCTCACGCATCCTTGCAAGGTGTCAAGCAAGGTACTTACACCAAATGTGTACGCTCCATAACCTCAGAGATTTGGGATTGGC